CCAGGAGGACACCCAAAGGTGGGCCATGTGTTTATAGTTATGACAATTAAAAGAGAAATTATAATTATAGTTAGGTCAATTAGCGTGTTTGTCCAAAGATAACATCTAATTGATCAAAATTGTATAATCTCTATCAAGGATTATTATATAAAAGGAAAATTATAATTAAGGTTAGGTTAATTAGTGTGTTTGTCCAAAGATAACCACTAATTAATCACAATACCTATAATTTCTATTAAAGATATTTCCTCGTAGGCATCAATCAAGTATATTATATATTTAAGTATTTGCCCAAAGGTATATTTAAATATATAATTTAAAAGATTTCTGAATCCATTAATTGTCTCTCAAAGCTTAATTAAATAGCATGTATTAAAGTTTGCAGTGTTTAAATTTGGTTTTTCTGTCAATTATTATTATTGAAAAAATTCAATGGGCTGAACTTCAATGAATGGTATGAGCATATCCATTTTTAATTAGGTGCACTGAATTTGGATATACTCTAATTACTGATGAAGTGCTCACAACCATTACTGATGAGAGCTCCGAAGTAGAGGTAACTCTTCGTAGGGCATGTGAGCGATCAAATAGGTTGTGTTTGAATTTTATGAAGTTAATCATGGCGGATAACATTAAGGATGATAATGCAAAAGATTTCTTAAATAAAAATCAAGTGATTATTTCCATTTAAAATTGCGGAAAAGGTTGTTGTGGAAAGTTCCATTAGCGAGCTCACCACTATAAAAGTCCATCTGATTCCGCTCCATCCATGATCTCGTGACCCACATGTTCAGCATATAAGCTAAACTTACAAACATGAGAATGAATGTGATAGACTCATTTATGGTTCTATTCATCATGAACTACCTACCTGTCAAGTTTGACCAATCCTAGGTGAACTGTAACACCATTAAAGATAAATGGGATTGTAAGGAAAATAAGGCTATGCTGGTGCAGGAAGAGGCGGGAATAAATGAGATGAAAGAAGAGTCCAATAATAGTAAGATAAAATGGGAAATAAGGCAAATAAAAGGAGATTGGCTTACTTGAAGTTTTTGAAGGTCCAATCACTAAAGAAATGAGGTATTATTTCTGTAAAAAGTTAGGCCACCTCATGAGAGATTGCCCGAAATAAAATCTTGATTCGAAAAGAAAACATACATTAAACTTTCGTATGTTGTGAATCAAATTTATTAAAGATTCCCAATAATACTTGATGGCTTGATTCTGTGCAACTACTTATGTATCTCATATTTATTTTTGGGTTAAACGTAGTGCACATAATGAATACTATACTCTCTTATGGCATTAAAGATTATGATCACATATCTGAAGAAAAGTTTTGAGAATGGTGAATAATGACACCATTTCTCATTTGGTTTTTAGTGATCAAGATGTATGTATAAAATGAATTAAAGAAAAGCAAACTAGCATACATTAAAGAGATCTGCCATGAGAAGCACTAAAATTTTATAACTTATTCACACTAATTTTTGTGGTCTATTCAACGTCCCTTTGTGGGGTGATGTAAAGTATTTAATCACCATTATAAATGATTCTCACGTTATGGTTATATTTATCTACTACATGAAATGACTCAATCATTGGACTATCCAAAAATATACAATGATGAGATGGAAAGGTAGTTAGATAAATAAGTAAAAGTTGTGAGATTTTCTTAGATTGGTGAATATTATTGTAAGTTCAATGAAAGAGGATAATATCTAGTCCATTTGCAAAGTTTCTTGAGATTCGAAGTATTTGTGTGCAATACACTATAATTGAGACTCTTCAACATAATGGTGTTGCTGAGAGGATAAACCGTACTTAAAGAATATGGTTAGAGGTAGATTGAGTAATTCAACATTAACGTTTTCTATGTGGATGCATGTATTAAAGATTACTGCATATTGGATAAACAGAGTTCCTAGTAAGGCAGTTCCTAAGACACCTTATGAACTGTGGATGGGTAGGAAACCTAGTTTGAGACACCTTCATATTTGGGGTGTCAAGCAGAAATAAAAGTATATAATCCATATAAAAAGAAACTTATTCCTAGGACAGTTAGTGGTTATTCATTGGCTATCCGAAATGTTCTAAAGGATATAAGTTTTACAGGTCTAACCATAGTACGAGAATAGTTGATTCCAACAATGCTCGATTCATTGAAAATGTTCAAATCAGTGGGAGTTTGAAACTGCAAAGTTTGGATGTTAAAGAAACTCAGGTTGAACAGTCCAGACCCGAGTGTCCATCAATGGTTGTTATTCTTTTAGTTACAGTATCGTCATGTAACTTAGATGAATAACAAAATGATCCAAACTCACTTGATAATGAATCATCACAAGCAATCAAGAAATTATAGAACAACCTATGGTTGATGAATCACAAGCCATGAAAAGTGTAAATTCTGAAAAGTTGATCAATGCCATAAAAGAATAATGGATGACAATAAAGTTTGGGATTAAGTAGAATTACCTGAATGGTCTAAAAGAATTGTGTGTAAATGGGTTTTTTTTTCCGAAACCAAACACGGCTCTAAAGGTAATATCGAAAGATATAACGTTAGACTTGTTTCTAAAAGTTACACCCAAAAGGAAGGCATTGACTACAAGGAAGCATTCTCTCTCGTTTCAAGAAAGATTCCTTGAGAATTGTAATGGTAATGGTGGCTCTGTATGTTTTTGAGCTGTATCAAAATGGACACAAAGATCACCTTCTAAATGATAAACTTAAAAGGAGATCTACATGAACTAATTAAAAGTTTTTGAGATCACAAGAAATGAAACATTAGTGTGTAAGTTGAATAGATCGATATATGGACTAAAATAAGTCTCTCGTCAATGGTATCTTAAGTTTAATGATACTATCACTGCTTATAGTTTTGTAGAGAATACCGTAGATCGGTGTATCTACATTAAGGTCAGTGGGAGTAGATTTGTTATTTAATTTCGTATGTCGATGACATATTATAGTTGCTAATAATGTAGACATGTTGCACGAAGTAAAGTATTATCTCTCTAAAAAGTTAAGAAATAAAGGATGTGGATGAAACGTCCTTGCTAATTGGAATAGATCACAAGGGCTAAAAGTTTATCCCATAAAAGTTTTATTTGAGAGATAATGGATGGTTGTTCCGTATAATTCCAATTCATAAAAGGGACACATTTAGTCTAAAATAAATGTTCGAAAGGTGAAATGGAATGAAATGTGATGGAGGAAATTCCTTATATATAAATGATTAGGAGTCTTAAGCGAGACGAACCTGTACTAGGTTTGATAACATATTTGTTGTTGGTACGTTAAACAAATATATAAAAGTTATCCCTAAATGATTATTTAAATGCTGCAAAGAAATTTTTAAAGTATTTACAAGGCATCAAAGAACACATGCTAACTTAAAGAAGATTCAAATTATTTGTTATAATTGGATACTCGGATTCAGATTTTTGCTCATAATGTCTAAAAGAGCAAAATTATAGAAAAGTGGGACAAAGTCCATCACCGCGACTTCCACGATTAAGTTTGAGTTTGTAGTATGCTTTGAGGCTACAAGTCAAATTTAGGGCTACGATGCTTTATCTTAGGACTTGGAAATGTCGACATCTTGTCCAAGACGCTAAAAATTATCACAGTATCGTGGCAATAATATTTCAAGGAATGACAAGTATTCAAAAGGGTGTGAATCACATAAAATTGAAATACTTGGTCGTAAAAATAGAAGTGAAGAACTAAAGTGTCATTTGAGCATTCTTGTACTACTTGCATGAAAGCGGATCCATTAAAAGGTTTATTCCCTATAGCCTTTGGAAAGCATATAAAGAAATTGGGAATAACGAATGGGGCCTTGTTGGACTGACCGATACTGAATGAAATTGCTCAATTAATGATTTTGACACTTATTGAATTCAATTAAAGATTTTTGATTCTTCACATACAATATCATCATTATGAATATTTGATTTTATAGTATATACATAAAAGTTGGATGACTTATGGTTATGGTACGAATAGTTTGTCCCATATTAAAGTAAAAGTGAATTAGAAATGATTTGTGGTACATGGAAGGGATTGTCGCTTGAAGACTTGTGACCGCCATGACTCGGTTAATTTCTAATTTGATTTTAAATATAGAGATATATATATTCAATTATAAGTTTGATGAAAAGTGCGCGCTTAAAGTAGTTCTTTGGGTTTCGACACTATATGGTCCAAGTGGGAGAATGTAATAATATTTTATATTATTCTATTATTGTGGACCATATAATTAGTTGGACCTAATTGAATTAATAGTCAAACTTATTTAAGGTGAATATGTATTTAATGGATTATTAATATTCTAATATTAAAGAGTCCAATATGTGATGTTTGACTTGGACAGTAAGTTAGGTTAGAACATGAGGAATGTTAGTAGGATTAGGATTGTAAGTCTTTTCCTCTTATATATACTACATGCCCCTCTCTCCCATCTCATACGAAAATAAAGTTCTCAACATCAAGGACTTTATGGAAAGACGAGAGACGCGGGAGAGAGAAACGATTCATAGGAAAAGATAAATCCATCATTGGAGATTACGAGAAAGATAGATCCATGAGATTACGAGGAAGAATGGCAAGATCCATGAGATTACGAGGAAGAATGGCAGATCAACATCATAGATCAAGAAAACAGGGAAGGACTATAAGCTGGATTCTTGTAAGTTCTATGTGCAATTTAATTTATGCAAAGATCCATATTCTATGAATTGATAGAATTACATGCGTAGGGTTTATTCAATTCCGCTTAATAGTTATGAATATGCCCGTTAAATTTCTTACATCGCCGCCCAGCGAACGCAAGAAGCCCGCCGCGAGCAGCACCAGTCGTGACCCATCGCGACCACTGCGAACCGAGCGGCAATCTCCCGGCTTTCAATCGCGAACACCAGCAGACCGGAACCACCACTGACGGGCCTGACAACAACCAACGACCAATTATCCCTGTCCGTCGCCGTCGATCCATGATTTCCGGCAACCTCTATTCACGAGCAGCGCACGCCCCTGAGGTCCGAGCAGTCAGAGGCGAGACACCATCCCAGTGGCCGTTTGTCGACGGGTTTCGCAGTAGACGTCAAGCCGTTTGTCGTCGAGGATCTATCTGCAAACAGCCTCTGTCCGTCATCACTGGGAATTCCACTTTCCAGCGACCCCGTTCACCGACAGCCATCTCCCGACGAGCCATTCATCAAGGCGAGATTTTCCCCGCAGGCCGTACGTTCGTCTGTTTGGGGGACAGCAGGCTGTTATTCGTGGCTTTCAAGTTTCGAGGTGTTTCCAGGTCCCGGTCGGTTCGTCCGGTCGTCCCGTTCGATTTCCAACCGAGCTCGTAGATTCTCGAAGAAAGGTAATCGGCGAACCCTATTGATATATTCGTGCTCGTGTTTTCTCGTTCATACTCTTTGAATAATTTCTCGTAGTTGCGTTGGATAGCAAATCGGTTCGTATATTCGTTTTGTTCGTCGGGTTGTGTTTCGTGAAGTTTCGTGGACGATTGGAAGTCTTGATTTCGAAAATCGAGTATCTTTAATTTGTTGATGTGGTTATGAGGTATTTCAGAGCCTCGTTTTGTTTTTCAGGCCATCCTCGTGTGTCGTTGACGTTCGTGTAATTGTGTAGTATCTCTCTTATCCTATTGATTAGCTTTTGCAAATCTTGTGCCACTGTTTTGCTATGAATTCGCGATATGATTTCTTATATTATGTAGTTGATTTTTAAAACACTAAGAATCTATAACATGGTCTCAAGTTATCGTCTCTTTACTCAGTCCAGTGCATTTAATGCCTCGCATTGCGTATCACATTGGTGTCTATTATGTTGACCTGCTTGATGAGCTTGAGTATTGTAACAATTTTCAAATTTGTCTCATTGAATTTTAGCTCGTTGGGTTGATTTTGATATTAGTATTTGTAAGCAATGTTTTGTCATTTGCTGTTAAGTTAATGGTCTGAGGAAAGACTTAACTTTTACTCATTTAATGTTATGTGATGGACTATGGAATTATAACTTGCAAATATGTTTGAATTGAAATATATACATATATATATATGTATATATTCTTTCTGTTTGATATATATGACTTTGAATGCTGTTTGATATATATATAGGATGTGGTTCAAATGAGAACAAGTTCTAGCGTGAGAACCGCTATTTTTAATTGTATGAAGTACTATGATTGAGTGTGTTAGTGATATTTTTAACCAAGATGTATTGTGTTAAAAATAACAATACAATTTATATTCACATTTATAAAAATGATAGCATCATGTAATATTAAAAATTGCATCATACACAATTAAAAATAGCATTAAATATGGTTCTCACGGTTCTTACACCAGGGTTGATTTTTATTTCAACCAGCCCCTATATATATATATATATATATATATATATATAGAGAGAGAGAGAGAGAGAGAGAGAGAGAAAGGATCATATGAGAATGATTCTTAATGCGAGAAATGAGAATGATCTGAGATCATTGGATCAATCAAACCAATGGACATGATCAAGGCAAAACTTAATAAATTACAGTCAAACATGAGTGACATTTTTGCAAATAACTGTACACATCATGGTCAATAATAAAATTAGACCACTAAGTGGGGGTAAATCAGACATTAGAAAATACAAGTGGACCCCACCACTAACACCACTAATCAACCTACCCTCTCTCACACACAAACACACACAAGAACACCACACGACGCAACAAACAAGAACACCACACGACGCGCACACACACACACACACAGAGAGAGTAATTTCGCTGGAAATCTATGGCAGCCCCGTCGGCCCGCCTCCGGCCGGCAACGTGCCTGACCGACGTCCGCAGCCGCTAAACCCGCCACCGTCTTCGCCGCTGAGGAGTGCAGGGCCAGATCGAGCAGAGACGCCGACGTTTATGGAGCCTGACAGGAGCTCGACCATCGCGTCGTCTGAAATGGCGGCGTGACCCACTGCTCGTCGGCGCCACCCATGGTCGCCGTCGGAATCCCGCGGCCGTTACCATATCTTCCTCAGCCGCCTCGTCCAAAATCCGCGGCCGCCGCCTTCCAAATCCAGCTCGTCGATGTCCGGCGAGGCTGCCATCTTTGCCTTCCCTGCTGTCTCCACCCATCTCGATGCCGGCGCCGGCGCCGACCGCCGAGGTCGGATAACAGCACCGTTTTTCAGAAATCAAAGATTGGGGAAAATTATGAAATTAGGGTTTGGGCCATTTTTTGTAAATTAGATAGGTTCAAGGGACTTGTTTGTAAATTAAAAATTTGTATTTATATTGATTGTTAAATAATAAGTACACTTTTATAATAATTAATAATAAATTATTTTAATTATTTAGATAAATTTGATGTACAATTTTATATGATAAATTTAGTTTTAAAAAACACATAATTTATATGTGGTCATATAAGTAGTGCACTTTATATATCAGTGCGATGCACTTTATAACACAAAACATTGCACTGTATAAAATAAATCGTTGCACTCTATCACCAGCTTCTACAATTAATGTCATTTAAAATTAAAGCATATAATCGAATCGAAATATAAAAGTTCAAATCGAAAATTTTTCTCTATTGTGTAATATGATAACCATTAATGTTTAATTTGTCTAATGTTATTTAATATTATTGTGTATTTTATATATCAACACAATAATTATATATATGATCATATAAATTAGTGCACTTTATATATCAATACAATGCACTCTACAAAACAATACGATGCACTTTATAAAACACCACGTTGCACTTTATCGAAACTACAACAATTCGTTTATTGTATAGTTCAACACTTACACTTTATAAAATAACATGTTGCACTTTATATAACATTCTATATTATACTATTTAATATGAATTCATATTTAATATTCTATATTATGTTTCAATTAAAAAAAATTATATATTTGAATAAATGAAATATATTATGCAATTTAGTTTTTAAGGTGTAATTTGTCCAACACTATGGTGCACCGTGACTATCTGTATTGTGCATATTGAACCAACTGACCTTGCAATTTAGTTTTTAAGGTGTAATTTAGTTTTTAAGGTATAACAAAATATATTAAATATTATGTCGATCTATCTTTTTTAGATGTATTTGTGCGGTATTTTGTGGGAGTTATCGACATTAATTGTGGAATGTCGTGATAAAGTGCAATGTGTTGATTTATAAAGTGCAACGTTATGTTTTAAAAAGTGCAACGTGTTGATATATAAAGTGCACTGCGGCAATTTTATACGTTAGTATGCTTGTGTTTTCCGTATACGGATGATGTGATGGATGTTAAATTAGTACGTAGATATAATTTTTTTAGATTTATGATGTGTAGTATTTTGGCGGAATCTATTGCAATAATTCTGAATTACATAAAGTGCAATGTGTTGTTTTATAAAGTGCAACGTGTAGTTTTGTAAAGTGTAACGTGTTGATATATAAAGTGCACTACTTTATACAATCCGAGAAAGCTATCGCAATAATTCTGGATTGTATAAAGTGCAATGTGTTGTTCTATAAAGTGCAACGTGTAGTTTTATAAAGTGCAACATGCTGATATATAAATTGTCCTATTTTATATGATTTGATACAAATTATGTGTTTTCTGAAACTAGATTTAGTATATATAATTTTACATCAAATTAACCTAAATAATTGGAATATTTCATATTTTATTTTTATAAAAAGTATACTTAGTATTTTATTATTTTTATATTATTTTTTGGTTAAAAATATAATATATAAATGTGTATAAAAAATATATATAAAAGATAACATTCTAAATATATTTTTATAAATTTCAGATTTGCCTATGAATTAAATTGAAAATAATCAAAATTACTAAATTACAAATAGGCCCCTCAAAATGATCTAATTTTCAAAAAAAATAAAAAATAAAATAAAACCCCCAAAATCCCTAATCCTAATATGCAAACTCCCGTCACTCACTGCCATCTCCGACGCAATTCGTCCGGCATCGAACCGGCTCCGGCTTTTCTCTGTCAATCCATCTCAGGAAGTACTGTCATCGTCCAATTTATCTCCGCCGCGTGGATAGTCGTTGGAATCATGCGTGAAACATACCTCCACGGTGCCACCTCTCTCGACCGCTGTCGTGCGTCTAGAAATTCTCCGGTTGTTGTCGCCGGAGGAGACGGCCGTCGGAAAGGGATGCGGTCGAGATGGATCGACGGCTGTAGAGATCGAACGCCAGTCGCCGGAAAAAGGATGCGGCCGCCATACCTTTAGCGATGGCCGCCGGGGGTGGTCGAGCATCTGGTGGTGGCCGGGTTCACTGTGTGTTCCGCCAGAAAGTGATGCGGCCGAGATGGAGCGATGGCTGTAGAGATGGAACGACGTTCACCGGAAAATAATGTGGCCGACGGACCTTGAGCGACCGCCGCCGGCGGGTGGTCGAGCATCTGCTGATGGTCGGGTTCATTGTGTGTTTGTGTGTGCAGTCAGTGTGTGCGTCTGTGTGTGTTGTGTGTGTGTGTGTGTGTGTGTGAGTAGTGTGTGTGTGTGTAACAGATTATATGTGTACTGTGTGTGTGCGTGTGTTGGGTGTGTGTGTGGCGTGTGTATGCTTGTGTTTTGTGTGTGGGGATGATGATGTGGCATGGTGATGTGGTAATGAGTGTAATGGTAATGTCTAAATTACCCTTAATGAAGATATAATTTTGACTTTTTTTTAGCCAATAGATCATTCGATCTAATGACTACGATCCATTCTTATTTCTCGCGTTAAGCATCATTCTCACCGGAGCGTGACCCTATATATATATATATATAAAATCTTGGCATTTNATATATTTATTGTCCTTTATTTGAATTAGTTGTAGCAGAATTGATGCAATATGAAATGCTACAAGATATATAGGTTTTTATGTCAAGTTGAGTTATTGATGCAAATGATACATGTGCGGAGGCTATTGTATTAGGGGTTTTAAGTTTAAACTTCATCTGGATGTCAATTAAGTCGGAATAGAGATTCTTATATGTTGAGGAAATCTTGAATCATACACTTTCATGTTAGCTGAACTATATTGGAATTTTTACCTGCGGAAATGAACCATTTGAAGTCTAAGTTTCAGATTTGGGGCCTCTTAGGTTTTGCTTATATGTTAAGAAAAAGAAGGAAGCTTAATTCATGTGTTTAATTGTAGCATCTAATGTGTTCATGTAGCTGTTACTGTAGGTTTTCCTTGCGCTATAAATGTGTTGTATTTGTGTTGTTTTGGTGTGTATTATGTGAGTTTAATTTTGGTTTTTGTTGACCCCATTTTTCTCTTCCCGAGTCATTTTCTTTCTTAAAATTCAAAAGTTCCAAGTCCACGACAATTCCGAAAAAAATCCCTTAATCATTGGTTGTTGATTAAGTGTGGTTTCCCTTTTGTCTTCGAGTAGTGAGATAAATTATTGAGTTATTATCTCGCTTAAATGTAGGTGTTTGAGGAGTTGAGCCATCGACCTACTCGTCTGCTATTGTGTGCGATTATCTATCTCGAATTTTCAGGTGGGTTTTATTTAAAATTGCTATGCCTTAATTAATTATTATTGTTGTGCTATGATCAAAGTATGCATGTGAACCATGTAGCCTTTGATGTGAGCTATATTGGTCGTCGAACGGTTATCCCCGTAGCTATAGAACGTACCCGATGGGTAGTCTCCTTTATTTATGTATGGCAGTCAGGGCGTGAGCCTTGGCTGGTGATCCTCGATGTAAGTCCGAAGGCTAGGTTCCGGGCAATCGGGGTGGATTTACTCCTACTGACTGGGCATCGATTGTAAGACCCGAGGGGCATTCGATACGTGTATCAGCAGTGGACTGTTGATATATGTGTGCACATGAGGGATGACTCTGGGATAGGAGATGGGATATAAATTGATTTGTGTTCATACTGCGACCATGACTGCTTTATTTTATGAATTTGAATATTAATTATTGCATAGCGGTGAGAACCTCGATTTTTCTATTGTGTTTATCCCCACCTGCTCTTCATGGATGCAAGTTAGTAATTGCGGGCACGACAGAGGGAGGCGAGTGGTGGTCAAGTTACTGGTTACTTCCGCTGGTTAAACTGCTTAGTATCATTTATGCATTTCTGATTTACGTTGGGTACCGAATTATTGATAGGGAGTGTACTCCCTAGTATTTATGAATTTGACAAACTCAGTTTTGGGAGTTGATGTTATTTATGAACCCGGTTTGGGTGTTGCAATGATTATTGAACCCGTTTGGGAGTTGCATTTGTGATATTGTTGAAATTGTTTTAGGAAATGAGTAGCGCCTCAAGTGTTTTGAAATAAATTTTGAAAAATTTATTCTGAATTTCGGCAAATAAAAGTGGGGCGTTACAAGATGATGGTAACTACCGGGAATAAAACGGCATATTTAAGTGAACGAACGCGGTTGAATTCACTACTTAGTCTAGCCTATTTTTTTAATTCGTAAAACGACTAATTGTACTAAATCTTGAAAGCGTTTTTCTGGACTGTACAAGAAGTCAGGTTTAATCGTAGAGCGTCTAGCGGTTAAATTAAAATATGAAAAAATTCGGGTAGCAAACCGTGTCGTTACCTAGAGCTAGTAATCCATTAGATAACGAAATTTGATATCAGAATTGATTAGATGAGTCAGTCGAGGTGTAGATGGAACCGTGAACTAGAAAATTCTCTTTATTTATTTTATTTTATTTTTATTGTTTAGAATTTATTTGCTTCATTAGGATTTTATTTAGTTTAGTATTAAATCTGAATTCCCCCTTTTTTATTGCTTTCATAATTTCAATTAATACGAGAAAATTCACAATTTGATTCACACTCCTCGTGGGATCGACCCTTGCTCGCCACCATTGGTAGTTGGTAGAGGTTAATCGAGGAAAAATATAAATTTTAATTTTGCCGTGTTACGACGCGCGGCCACAAATGCACATAAATTTATTAGATTGAAGGAAAAGGATGAGGTATCAAAAGTTGTGGATATCTCATAAATTCTGTTGGGTACCACCTTTTAGAATACGCCTCCATAAACTCCTGAGAGAGTCCACCATGAATGAAAGTTCAGCAGCTTTCAAACTTTTTAGTGAGAATATGGGCCGACCTTACGAAAAGATTGAAAAATCTTGGGCAACAAGATTGAGCAGATATTGAGTACCGAGAGTACTTGGGAGTAAGATAGGGCAGATATTGGGCTACAATGGTACTTGGACAACAAAATTAGATAGATCTTGGTTTGTAAGGGTAAATCAGATAAATCTTAGACAACAAGGTAATCATCGTATATAAGGTTTTCAAGTATGAGAGAGAGGGTTCTTTTTCTCTCTTGCTTTTTCATATTTATATAATTGGCACCCTTTCATATTTCGAAGGTCACTTCAAGGAAAAAGATATTATGGGATTTTAAGTTTTTATTAAGATAATATTTAAAAAATTGATTAAAGTTTATTTGATGTAAGAATATGAGAGAAATTATGACATGTTATAAGTATATAAAATTATGTGAGCAGATGAATAGTGAATTAAAGTTGATGTGATATGTAATGATGATTAATTGATATTATTTAATTATATTGATAATATTGAGAATAGTGAGATTGACTGATTGAGTTAAAAT